TTCCACCTTAATTGAATTGGCCTCATTAGTACTGACCCCCCACTTGTTAAGACAACTCCCATCTTTTCATGTGCTGTATATATATATATATATATACACACACACACTGCTTACTGTATTTTTCACTCCATGCATCTGATGAAGTGGGCAGTAGCTCACGAAATCTTATGCCCAAAGAAATTTGTTAGTCTCTAAGGTGCCACAAGGACTTCTTGTTGTTTCTGTCATCACAGTTGCCTTCCTGAGAGCTACTGTTGAGCTCTGGCATGTCTTTTTTAGGATTGCCCCTTTAAGAAATACAGATTTCAATTACTGACAGAGGAACACTGTTGGAATTTCCAATAAAAGATAAAATTGAGTTGGACTCCTTATTTCATAACTCTATGAATTACTTGGAGACATTGATAATGTATAATCCTCAAAACTATTAAATTAGTCTTTTTCCATAATAGAAGATTGTTCTACACCATCACAGTCTCACATTTTCTCCTAAAGTCTGTTCTTTTGAATAAATCTGTTTTTGTTTTTTTTAAATCTCTGGAACTATTAAACTAAATTGTACAGATTTGTGTAATCTTAGTGTAAAACTGCTCTTTTTTGACTCGTATTTAGGTATATAACCTACATTTCAAAAGTTAAATTTAATTTGTGTCACTAAGCAGAACTATTAAACAGTTACATGGTGTATAACAGGGACTGGACACCAGCTGTTGACTATCAAAAGAAAAAGCAAACACAATACAGTCAGGTCTGTAGTATTAACTCTGGAGCCCAATCCTGAAAATATTACCAAGAACAGTCAAACTGTCATGACTCATCTCATTGATTGAGGCATGGTAGTAAGTGCTTTCAAGGAGAGTTACATCCCCATCTGGGCCTAGAATTAAATATAATTCACAAAGGATTTGGCAGTCAGGAACTCCCAATCTGTTCTCTAACTAATGAAAAGGATTTAATTTCCTTCACAGAATCCTTTAGCTCTGGAGAATAACACATTTGTCTGTACACACAAAAGAATTTGTAATTTTCTTGGAGTTAAAGTCATTAGGTTATTTATACTATACCATAGTATGTGGTGAGGCAAACTCCACTCTCACTCTGAATCCAGGGCATGTGGACTACAGCTCAGCACTCTACAGACTGGAATAGTGGCCACAGTCCTACTTTATCACATCTAATGAATTTTCATTCAACTGGATCTACAGACCTTTCCCCAGTCTATTTCCTATCATAGAATATCAGAGTTAGAAGGGACCTCAGGAGGTCAACTAGTCTAACCTGCTGCTTAAAGCAGGACCAATCCCCAGACAGATTTTTGCCCCAAATGGCCTCCTCAAGGATTGAGCTCACAACCCTGGGTTTAGCAGGGCAATGCTCAAACCACTGAGCTATCCCTCCTATGGCCCTATAGATCTTTGTAGGAGTAGCAGAAATATTCTTTTCATTACACAGAAACTACTCTGCTAGTAACACCACCAGGTATCCTTGAATCAGGGTGAATTTCAACCATTGTAAAAGTTTTTGTGCAGTAACTTAAAACTTTAGCAGTCTCTTACTAGTATGCGTGTGGAAACAAAACCTGTCAAAAGGCCCATTAACTGCATCCAAATCCTTGCTGAGACAAGGCATTATGCATTGGGTCAAAATGGAGAGGATACTATGAAATTGACTACAATGTCATGTGGCCCATCTGCAACTGCTAGTAGCAAGTATCAGGACACTGGATGGGGAGGTCTCTGTGTTACCATAGTGAATTCTTTCCTGGGTATCTGGCTGGTGATTCTGGCTGACATGCGTGGTGTCTAACTGGTTGCCATATTTGGGGTGGGAAGGAATTTTCTCCTATCTCAGATTGGCAGAAACCCTGAGGGAGGCGGGGAGGGGGTCACTTTTATCTGCAGCATGGGGCATGGATCACTTGCTGATTTGAAGTAGAGTAAATGGTGGATTCTCTGTAACTTGAAGGCTTTAAATCAATATTTGAGGACTTCAGTAACTCAGCCAGAAGTTATGGGTCTATACAGGAATGGGTGTGTGAGGTTCTGAGACTTACAATGTGAGTGAGACTTGATCACAATGGTCCCTTCAGGTTTCAAAGTCTATGAGTCTAACTTAG